GGGAAACCAAATTAACCAGGGATGGATTTTTTTGTGGAAGAGAGGAGAGGACAGAGGTAGCGTTTTTATGAGTCACTGGGTAACACCCAGACATTCAGGAATGACTAATGTGGGTCTTGGGACATTCCTATGAACTCAATGAGAGGGAGTGAAGGCCTCTCCATGACCCTGAGAGAACCTTCCCTTGGACTGTTGAAAGTTGTGCTGCATTCAAGGTCTCGTAAAAAAAAAAAATGGGGCATCTGCTGTTAGCTTTCACTATATTTACTTTTCCAGTAAAAAAGAGAGACTCAAGTGTTTTTTGTTATTCTTTTTCAGTGATATTACAGTTACCAACCAAAAACAAGTTAAGTCTGTCCTACAAAAAAAACAATTTCTAGTCTGCACATTCATAGTCAAAATATCCTTCCCCTTTTCTCTCCTCCCAGCCACCATCAAGTGATGACCTCAACTAGCCACGTTAGAACACCAACGCTGCACAATTAGCCTGCTTTATTACTACGACAACACTCACAGCAGCAGGCAAATTGAGGATAAAAAGGGACAAGTGTCATCCTAAAATCAGAGCTCTGCCACATAACACATTTTCCTCTACCATAAATTACCCATTCAGGAAAACACTCTAATAAAAGATTTGTGTAGTAGTAGTGTAGTGTAGAATTGAACTTAGAGTGTGGTTATACTATGTGCCAACCTCAGTTTTAACTGTTGGGCTAAGTGTGTGTGTGTGTGTTCCTACTCGTCCAGAAGCTCCTCTCCATCGATGTATCTGAGGCTGCGGAGGAAGGCCAGGGAGCTCAGAGTGTGGGAATGTCTGATCCGCACATAGCCCGTCACCCTCTGGATCAAACCTGTGAAACTCTCCAGCTCTGCCACCATGTTGTCTAAACACACACAAAGACATCCATAGACACACAACTTAACTACATTCATGTCTCTATTATGGTTCAGCTTCTGGAATTGTAAGACTTGCTTTTATATATTTACTACTATCTATAACTCTCAAGGTTTGTCTTTTTTTTTTTTTGTAACATCTGGAAATTATACACTTTCCAGAAAAATTTTAAAGCCCTGGTCTAGACTAATCTTAACATCGTGTATGTTATGTTGTTTTAAAACCCATGTCCAGAGGTGTTGTAAAGAAACCGACTGGGAAATCTGGGTGCCTTATGGTGTCATCAGTCATGGTTTAACAATACGTAATTAACAAACCTGTATACATTTCTGTAGAATGGCGATAGCAGCGGTAACACAGAAATGTTAGTGATAACTGGAGTGTTGCTGTGATACACTACAGTACTTACGGCCTCTGCGGATGTTGATATGCAGGTTGCCTTTGATAACAGTGCAGCCTTTGAGAGACTGAGCGGCATCCATGGAGTCGATGACCTTCTCCTCACACACTTTATCACACAGGCCATCACAGGCTGTACAGAACATGCTGGAGACAGACAGAGAGAGGTGGGGAGAGACAGGAGACCGTAATAGTACAGTTTCATTTTATTGACGTACTTTCATTCTCTAAACTCTTGTAGCTCTCCCCTGACCTTTAATCTTTCATTTTATTTTATTTTCTCCCATCAACATTTTTACGTCAGTGTCTGACAGGACCAGCTAAATGATGTCTCCGAGAGATTCTGAGATTTAACTATAAAACGTATTATTTTACAAACAACTATTTATAATGTGACTAAGGACAGATGGTTGTCTCTAAACCAACTGCCCTGTATTATGGCATGTGTATTGTGCTGTATTATACTCAGTTTTTGCCCTGATGAAATTTTAAAATGGAAACTAATAGCAGGGTGTGGAATTGGTACCAAAGCCAGGCCAACAATAACAGTACCTCCACCCAGTGGCTCCATTTCAGTCTACATCAGGGTGGATTGCATCTCACCTGTTGGGTGCGGTGCGCGTGTACCCAGATGGGCATTCAGACATGCACTCTCCACCGTGGATGATGAAGCTGTCATAGTCGGGGAGGTGGACTTTGGAGCAAAGCTCGGCGCTAATGCAGCGCCAGCCCTCGAACTTGTAGGTGCCTTGAGGGCAGTCGGCCACGCAGCGTCCTTGGTAGTAATAATGCACACACGCCGCACATGCTGTGTCACTACCAGCGACTGTGCAGCTGCCTAGACACTGAGGGTGGCAGCACTCGCCGTCCGCTGTGCATGTTCTCCGTACACACTTCTCTGGGCACTCTGGTGGGGAGAGAAAGGGGAGATATTATACCTATGAAGATGAATGAAAACACTGACTGTTTTTCCAGGATGTTAGATTTATTTAAAAACAAAAAAACTGACATAAAGACATGGATTAGGATATGCAAGCAATACTAAATTACAGTATAATACTCATACTAGGGATGCTTGTTCTTTTGCTCCTAATCCCATTCAGATTCAGAAATTTTACTAAAGCACAGCTGCAAAAGCAAAGCAATCTGACAGCTGACAGCACTAAGAAAGATACATTCTACACCGGAACTTTATTTTGGAGATGCATTTATTGTTTTTTGTTTTATTTTTCTCACGGTAAATATGACACTACAGCCAGCAGCTATTTAGCCTGGTTTAGCACATAGACTGGAAACTGCTAGTTTGGGTCTGGCTCTATCCAAATGAAACAAAATTTGTCTACCAGAACTTCTAAAGCTCACTAATTAACATGTTTTATCTTGTTTATTAAATCTGTATAGAAATGTAAGCGTAAGAATGAAACATTGTGGTTTTACAGAGCGTTATGTGCCAGTCATTGTGATTTGTGACTGCATCTGGCCAAGAAGTAGTCTGGCACATAACCCCCTGTAAAACCACAGCATGACATCTGTACACTTAGTGTTAACAAATAGACAAGTAAACAATTACTATTGTATCCTGTAATATTTTAGAGTGTCAGTCTGGATCAGGGAAAGCTTCTCATCCAGAGAATGAACAACACAGTGAAGTATTTTAACATTTTGTGTTCCATCTGTAAAATGTCAAATGTCACCATTAAGCATTGGGATACAGTTCTAGTGTGATAATGGAGTGCAATATGGAGTTTGTTGGCATACTTAGACAATGGTGGGTTATAATACAAAGCATATGGAACTGGATCAGGAACTGGAAAAGGCCCTGATTGACCACAACCTGATTTTACACATGAGCTCAAGGCATCACGAACCATACTTGCCTGAATGGCCCTGTTCTTGTGACTCTAAGTGACTCCAAGTCCACATCTAGCAACCAACAAACACAACACCCCCCCCCTCCAAGAATAAAGGGGCATTTTCCTACGCCAGAGTGTAACAAAGAAACACAACCAGTCAGTCCTTAGCCTGAATTAGCCTCTGGCATGACGCTACTGGCTACAGTCCTGAACAAATGCATTTAGTGGAGACTGACTGACAACACACATGCAGACGCACACACA